GGAGTTCTTCGTCGCACACTCTAGCTGTAAAAGCCAATATGAGATGGAATGACAAGACGGAAGACATTCGCTCACCCTTTAGCTTGAACATTGAAGCAAATAATGATGATGGATCATCGCTGAAAAAAACCTGGGGAATTAGACATCAAAGAGCAAATTTGAACAGCCAAATCACCATTTGCCCTTCACATCTTGCACCGCGCTCTCGTTGCCATCTGCCATCTTCGACTTCTCCCCCAACACTTCATCTACACGAGTCTTCTCACTCTTCTCTTCCACATCTTTGAGAAAAACATGTAAAGATAAATCAAATGAAAGAAAATGGTATTTAAACCTACCAAGTTCATGGCTTACTTCTGATGGGTGAAGTGCAGATGCGGCAACAATTGGTCGATCTGGAAGCTTACCGCAACCTTCTGGAGTATTAACAAGGCTGAAACTTTAATATTGAAATTTTTAGAAGCAACCAGAACATCTGATCCGGTTTGCTTTACAACTGAGCTATCAGACTAAAATTTATGTTACAAGAACAGACTAGCCAGATTGCATAGTTTTTATCAGCGTTTTTATACCAATGAAGCAATCTATATTTGTTCAGAAAAACAGAAACAAATTTTTAAATACACGAACCTTTCTACTGTAAAGTCATTAGGTTGAACAGCTAGATTTGCGTGGAGCTTTGGTCGTTTCAAATAAGGAAGTAGTCCAAACCCTCGTGCTAGAGGTAAAAAACATCTTCGGAAATCAGAAAATTGTTCAAAGCTTTTTACTTCTTGTCGGAGGCTCAGGGGAGATCTCTCGAGATGCGGAGATTTTAGTTTCAAGACAACGGCGAAAAGGATCATCCTCACATAAGAACTTGGTTCTTTCTGTAAAACGCAAAGTCTCAACGGAAAATCTCAAAATTCTTTAGCACTTAATGCAATAATCTAAGCTGAAACACATTACAAACAAACAAACAGCTGATACCGACACATTAAAGATGTTATTTGGGCTTATCACAATGTTCAAGAATGGGAGATATTCCCGTATCATATTGTCAAGCATAATGATATATTGAAAGAAGATGATAAT